TGTGTGAGAGCCAAAATAAAGAGCCATCTGGTCTTCTGAACCACAAAACTGTGAAATAAATAAAATGGGTGTTGGGGCTGGAGTTATACAGTGGGTTAAGCCATTGCTTGGGACACTCACATCCCATATAGGAGGGCCTGGGATCAAATCCAGTCTCCACTTCTAATCTAGCTTCTTGTTAATGTGCCTGAGAGGCAGAAGGTGATGGCCCCACAATTTGGATTCCTGTCAATCACATGGGAGATCCAGATGGGATTCCAGGATCATAGCTTTGGCCTGGCCCAGCCCTGGCTGTTTCAGGCATATGGCAAATGAACTAGCAGATAGAAAACCCCTCTCTGTCTCTTTCTTTCTGTCACTCTTCCTTTCAAACACATAATTTTTAGAATAAATGCCTGGTAATGTTTTCCCTAGCAGTAGAAAATTAATTATAAACCAACTGTGGTTTCACCAATTCTGAAATGGTCCAGACCCCATCTCTGTGACAGCCATAAGCTGTTCATTGCTGAAATCAAGATATAGCATCACTGATATTTTCTTTATCTGGCAACTGAATAACTATGTCACAAAAAGCTGCATTTCGTGTATTTATTACCTCCAAAAATAATACCTTGAAAATGGACTGGCTTTGTGCTTTTCAAGGTCCTTTCAAATCTCTTGTCTCATCAGAACCTGGCAGGACAGATAAGAACAAAATCTGTAGAAACCATTTGCCCAAAGAAAACAAGACTAATTTTGGCTCAAAGCTACGAAGGCCTTTCAAACAATTGGAACCAGTCAACAGTGTAAAGGGCTGCCTTCTAGGATAAACCATGATTTGCTGGAAGAAAAGGCAATGTGATCATATCTGAAGGATTTAATGGGAGAGAGCTTGGCATGGTTAGTGAGTCAAACAGCTTCACCTCTGAGGTCTCCTCCAATACTAAGATTCTGAGTTCCCACTGGAACCAAATTAAACTGACCCATAATCCACATTTGGGGTTCTTGGCTCAGTCAGGGACTCTTCCTAAAAGAAACCTTTGCATGTTCACAATTGCCATTGCATTGGCAGCAGTAAATTTACCTAAGTTCCTTCGTACAAGGAAAATACTATGTGATATACCTTAACGATACCTTTTCTTTGAAGCACAGAATTTTTAGTAACTTGGCCACATCTCACAGATGCTTCTTACGAGAATGCAAGATTTGCAGTTCTGTCTTTGCCTGAAATTGCTGTTGCATGACCTCTTGACCCACATTAGAAATCAGAAGCAACAAGGAGCTGGCTTGGGTGTTTAAAGAGATGGACATTGCAGGAAGACCACAGAGGGAATCCTAAGGCAAGGATGTGCCTGAAGAACTAGGACATCCTGCCGGCTCAGTATCCCACACTTGGTGGCCACCTCTCCTAGGACAGTGGGAAGCACGGCTTATCTCTTGTCTTTGTGTTTTTCTCCTGGCCTGAGATAAAGCCCTAATGACCCTACCCCAGTTATTAGAACTCACGAGAAAGCCCACTTTTCCTCCCTGAGCCTCACAGTCTGGCTATATGTAAAACAGGAGGGATGGTTTTGTTGACTTTAGAACTCTCTTCCAGCTCTCCAATTCTATTATCAATGGGAAAAATATATATACTATTTTAACATTTCTCCTACCCTCCCCCTCCCCCTAGCAGATGGACGCTCAAAAAGAGATTGACACCTGGCTTCAAGAAATTTTTAAAGAGATTCTTGCGTTTTTAGATGAGAATTCTTGGGGGTTTTTTGTGTGTAAAACCACCTTACACTTCTGGGAGTTCCAATTCCTTTAGAGTCCAGCAGCTTCAGAAGCATGGAATTGCCCTCTGTCCACAGAGAGGCAGCCATTGGACAGGAAGGGGCAGAGAGGACGGAGGTGAGCTGAATTGACTGGGGGCCATGGGGGCTCTGCTCATACGGGCAGCTGCCTTTTCTCCTTGGAGGTACAAGGCTGTGACAGGCAGTTCTAACAGAAGCCTGGAGCTGGTAGAGGTAAAAAGCATGGGACCAGTCTGGAGCCAGGAACTCAGCACCCTGGAGGACAGGTGCAGTTGAAGAAACACATAAGACTCTAAGAAGATCTAGCTGTGAGTGTTTAAGAGAGATGAAAAGTGTTACCAAATGCTAACAGCTTCAAAGAAGAATGAGGCAAGACCCAAGTTTTTTCCTTAACCCTGACTCATCTCACTGTGTTTCATGACCCAGCTGACGGTCAATGTTCTGATATCCACAGGGAAAGTGAGGCAGTTGCATTAGCCCAGCTCAGCAGGAGCTAAATGCACACCACGGTCCCTCATCAGCTAAATCAATGTATTCTGTTGCGCAGGAAAACTGGATGAAATAACAATTCTGAATATCTCTCCTCTCTGCCTGGGGAACTTGCCTTCCTGTGTTTCTCTTTCAAAGAATGAAACAGATAAGGAAATTTTGTGCTTAATTAGAGGAGAAGAAGGGGTCTTATTTCAAGTCTTTTCAAAACCATTTTGGTTCTAGGCTTAGTGAAGTCAGCAGAGACACAGTCACCATCTGGCGTGAAAGGCATTAATTAAGAGCTTTTGGTCAACATGAGACATCAGATTCAGAAACAGAAGGGATTACTTTGGAAGTCCCCTCAGACTGTATATCCTATAAGTCGAGAGTCTGTGCATTGGCTTGCTAGATACTAAATAGATAGATGGCTCATTTTCCACAGCTTTATTGAGGTATAGTTTTTGTACTCTAATGTTTACCATTAGAAGCATGCAATTCAATGACTTTTTAGTAAATATGCAGATTTGTGCACCCATCACCACAATCCAGTTTGGGAACGTTTTCTTCACCCTGTTTGCAGTGAATCCCTGCTCCCACCCAGTAGCCACTTATCCACTAACTGGCCCTACTTGTCTTTTATGGATATTTTGTATAAATGAAATAACAATATACCATCTCTTGTACCTGACTTCTTTCACCTAGTGAAATACTTTTAAGGGTCATCCATTGCATAGCATGTTCACTACTTCATCCTTTATATTGATGAAGAGTCTTCGTGGGCTGAAAATACTACATTTTCATTATCCATTCACTGTTGATGGACATTTGTGTTCTTTTCAGTTTTTTGCTGTTATGAATATTGTTACAATGAACAAGATCTTTGAATAGATGAATACTTTTCTATGAACAAGACTGTGTGTTAACCTACATTCTTATTTTTCTTGAGTGAATTCCTATGGAGGAAATGACTGAATCATAAAAAAAAAGCTTTACTTTTTAAGAAATTGCTAAGCTGTCTTCCAAAGTGGGTGTACCTTTTGGCTATACCCCCAGCAGTGTATGAGGATTCTGATTTTTCTATAACCTCACCAACACTTGTTGCTGTTTTTTTTTTAATTATTATACAGCCATCCTAGTGAGTACTTGTATCTCCTACTAGATTTAACTTGAATTTCCTGATGAGCAATGATCCTGAGCATCATTTCTTGTATTTTGTAGCCAAAGACACATCTTAAATTAACACTAAATGAAAATGTTGGGGGTATTTCTTTTTTTTAAAGACTTATTTTTTATTTATTTGAAAGACAGAGTTACAGAGAGAGGTAGAGAGAGAGAGAGAGGTCTTCCATCTGCTTGTTCACTCCCCAGATGGCCGCAACAGCCAGAGCTGCGCAGATCCAAAGCCAGGAACCAGGAGCTTCCTCTGGGTCTCCCACGCGGGTACAGAGGCCCAAGGACTTGGGCCATCTTCTACTGCTTTCCCAGGCCATAGCAGAGAGCTGGATCAGAAGTGGAGCAGCCAGGAGTTGAACTGGAGCCTATATGGGATGCCGGTGCTTCAGGCCAGGGCTTTAACCCAGTGCGCCTAGGTGCTGGTCCCAGGGGGTATTTCAAAAAGGCTCATGGAGAAGTGGAATTAAAATATATTTATTTTTATGCAGAAGAATTGGAAATCCATATATAGTTTTTTCGTAATATGCATTTTCATGAACTTTTTAAGTAATCCTACTCTTTATGGACTATGAAATTTTGTTGCACCTGAATAAATTTATCTTTTAATTCAATTTTCCATGAACTTTTGGAAATACCCATGTATAATAATATCAGAAATAAATTTGATAGTATATTTATTAGTAAAAATAATCACAAGAGGATTAAGCAGCTTGAATGACTGATCTATTCATTCACGTGTTTCATAGTTTCTGAGGGCCTATCTGTGCCTGGAGCTGCGTTAAGTTCTGGAGAGGAAACAACGAACAAGATTTAGCCCTGTCTTCAGGTATCTTGCAAAGGCATGTCTGGAAGATGGATATGATATATACTGCGAGGAAGTTAAAGTGGACAGAGTGGAGTAGAAGCTCAGAGAGGGAAGGGACATCTACGTTGTCACGCAAGTGTTGGAGATCTAGGAACTCTTCATGGGTGATAATGTCACATGAGGTCCTGAAGGACTAGTAGTCAGGCAAAGACTGAAGAGGAGCATCATCCAGGTAGACTCAAAGAGATGGGGACAGATGGCAAGAGGAGAGAGGGACAAGCACAGACCTCATGTGTTTGCCAAGTGAGCGGAGCTCCATACAGCAGGACTACAGAGGGTTTGGAGGAGAGGTCATAGGGCAGAGAGAAATGAAGCTAGAGAGTAGGCAGGGGCAAGAGTGAGATGGGCCTCACCAATGCCTTAGGAAAGGCTTGTCATAAGCAGAGTGCCCTTCAGAAAGTCCCTGCTGCACCATGGGGGACACATGAAGGTGAGAAGCCCCAGGCTTTCCCTCTCAGAAGTTGTGTCGGACCTCTTCTGACCTTGAACTCAGCCTGTATCTTCCTGGGATCCAACAGGGTCACCTGAAGCATGGAAAATGACCTTGGCTTTCCTATGTTTGGCAGGTGCTATATCACTCTTACCCAGTCTCTGCACCTGACCATGAGTGGGGCTCCATCGGGACCTGCAGGCACAGGCAAGACCGAGACCACCAAGGACCTGGGCCGAGCACTGGGCATCATGGTCTACGTGTTTAACTGCTCAGAACAGATGGACTACAAGGTATGGGTTGACCCAGCTTTGGAAGGGACTAGGAAAAGGGTGGCAGCCTAAACCAGGAATGAGGTTTATCCTTAGTCACCCTGCCCAGGTCCCCAGGTCTCAGAGCTCAGACAAGCACATCTAGGATCTTTAACGCCTAGAGCTTGCTGATCTCCCTGTAAATCCCTAATGTGACAAGGAAGGGAAGCCCCGGGGATTCTGATTCCTCCAAAGAGCTTTGTGAGCCAAGACCTTTGGGTCTTCCTTTCATTTTCCGTAAAATAAAAAATATTGAACAGACATCCAAAGTCATAAATTCTCTACTTGACCCAGAAATACAGAAAGGCCCCTAAGGAGCTATCATAAAGATGCTTGTCTTCATCTTAAAGCTACGTTGGAGCTCTTCTGTAAAAGTGGAATTCTCTTGGGGCACAGTGGGTTACGCTGCCCCTTGTGTCACTGGCATCTCTCACTGGAGCACCAGTTGTAGTTTCACTGCTCTGCTTCCCACCCAGCTCCCTGCTAATGCATCTGGAAAAATAGTTTAAGATGACTCAAAGCTTGGACTCCTACTACCCATGTGGGAGACCCAGATGGAGTTCCAGGCTCCTGGCATTGACCTGGTCCAGCCCTGGCCATTGTGGTCATTTGGGGAGTGAGCCAGCAGATAGAAGATCACCCCCCACCTCTCTGTCAACCTGCCTTTCAAATAAATAAAATAAATCTGCTTTTTCAAAGTGGACATTCTCCACAATATCTGTAGAGGCAGAATGTTCTACAGAGGCAATGTGACTTCTGTAAACAGACTAGATTAACCCCTACTCATTGCAAACAATATAAACAAAAGACAAATGTGGAGCTAATGCTCATTCAGGCACTCAGCATTTTTTAAAAACTAATGTATTTTAGGTTGCGTCACAGAAAAAAAAAGAGTCAGAAAAACAAAAGGTCCATGCAAAAAACATTCTGTCCATATCTAGACTTTAGATAGATTCTTCTTTTTAAAAATGTAATAATAGTTTGTCTTACTGTCTCATTACTTTTATTTTGCTGTGTTATATGTATTTTTGTAAACTGCCTTCAGTCTCTTTTGCAAACAAGAGGACATATAAGTAAATTTAGAGTAGAAAAAATAAAACAATTGTATTAAATAGATTAAATATTTATATATAAAATCATATGAAATATTGACTAAAATAAATGTAATATAGAAACAATTTTAGCAATTGCAAGGTAGCACTTGCAGTTAAAGAGTTATAGAACTCTTCAAATGTTCTATAACTTTAACAATTTCCCCAGTATATAACTGTGCAGTGCAGAGTTGCAGATTCCTGTGGCACCACATTTTCTCATAGCAAGTAAACAAAATTACGATCCAGATCCAAAATAATTGCCCTCCCTAGGGGTTGGTCTACATCCCCTAAATTTTGGCACAGCTTCTTTTATTGATGAATACATGGTGCTACTATTTATCTTTTTAGTCAGCCTGGAAGAAGCAGGATTTTTGCTCTTTAAATGAACAAACTCAGCTTTAAAGATTATTTTAAGCTTCTGGATTTTTCTATAGTTGGATACTGAGAGCCTCACTGCAATAAGTGTAGTCTCTCAAGGGGAGCATTCTGCAGGACACACTTGGATTTAGATGTGGGAGAGGTGGCATATTGATTGAAGAGAATCAGCTGAATTTCTTCCAAGTCAAGGAAGCGATGACTTAGCCTCATGGCCAAGGGTTACTACGGCCATTTCTCTAGGATCTTTTCAAAAATAAGCACTGAGAAATCACCTCACCAATGCCTTTAAGAGGACAAGGTAAGAAGAGGCATTTGAACTGTGAGTGAAGTGTTAGGTCATCAAGTGTGGGCTGGACACAGATTAGAGAAACCTCTGTAGGCACAGTCATAGCCAAACATACCAGAAGAAAGGTGATCCCTCCACAGACAGCAAACATCCCTTGTAACCAAACAGTCCCACTAAACTGTTACAGACTGCCTCTACTGTTTGTTATCCAGCTGTTCAGAGCTATCTTTTTTTTTTTTTTTTTTTTGACAGGCAGAGTGGACAGTGAGAGAGAGAGAGAGAGAGACAGAAAGAAAGGTCTTCCTTTTCCGTTGGTTCACCCCACAATGGCCGCTGCGGCCAGCACACTGCGGCCGGCGCACCACGCTGATCTGAAGCCAGGAGCCAGGTGCTTCTCTTGGTCTCCCATGTGGGTGCAGGGCCCAAGGACTTGGGCCATCCTCCACATAAAACACTCCAGCAATTAAGCTAATTTAGTGAATCTTGCCATTGCTCAGCAGGTGTGGGACATCATTAGAGGACACCAAAAACGAGTAGCATAGAGGGATCATACACGATACCTAAATGATAGATGTATTGTAGATAGATGGCAGATAGATAGATACAGATTCAGAAAAATAGGTTATAGATGGATTATAGACAGATGGATTATAGACAGGTCAATTATAGATATAGATAATTCATTGATTCATTGATGATTCATTGATAGATGAAATAAAGTAGATGATTCATTGATAGATGAAATAAAGGAAGGAAAGAAGGGAAGGAGGGAGGGAGGAAACACATAGATGAAGAGAGTATAACCCAGTCTATTTGGAGAAATAAAGCATACAAGAAATAATTAGGGGAGCTAGCTAGCACCTAGACTGCATAATCCTGGGTGCTCATGGGTATTCTACAAGCTCCAGGCCCAGGGATTTCTAGAGTAGGGGTAGAGCCTCAGAATATGCCTATCAGGACATATTTGCAGAGGACATGAGACCCAGACAAGGCTGTTTAAGTTTGGAGGTTCATGTCATTCAGGGCATGTGGCATTTTAACACAACCCAACCCATTAACAAGTTAGCTTTAAAGACATAACCAAGTCATGTGTACAGCCTACTCCTTCTCCCACCTTCGTTCTGTCTTCACCTCCTGAGCTCATCTCTCAGGGCCAGGCTGAGATAAGGGGAAGAAGAAAGGGAGGCTCAGAAAGAGCTGTCATGCATTTCCCCAGGGGTCATTTTGATGATTTTATCATGACTTTCAAAGCAACATTCTGTTTACATCTCTCTGGAACAAAATCTAGAAATAAGAATGGAATAAAGCCAAGTTACCATAGACAGGATTAGAGAACAGGAGATCAATGGGGTTTAATCAAGAGGGGAAGAACTAAAAGACACAGAGAGGAACTTGCTGGTAAGTAGTGGACTATAGAAAGACCCTGCAGGCTTGGCAATAGGACTGAAGTCCTAACAGTGGAACTGAAGGAAGGAAAGTACCTTGACAGGCAAATGATCTCAAACAGGAAGAGACTGGAGAAGAGAGACTTCGGTGAGAACATTGCAGTCATTCCAACTTGAGGATATGCAAAACCAGATGATGAGGTCTGAAAGATGGAAAAAGGAAAAATAAAAGATTTTTTTAAAAGTTAAATGAAACCTAAAGAACATGAGGGCATAGTGGGTGGCAAAAGGAAGAATTATGGAGGAGAGTTTGACCTGTGGTCATCACTTTTGCCTACAAATTCTATAAGGGGTTTGGGGACATCATCCTGCTTAGCTCCATGGGGGTTGAGGGTGCAGGTGGGCTTGCAGTAGACACAAGAACAGAGTGAGGACTTGGAGAAAAGGGTAAGTTACTGCTTTACTCTGTCAGCACTTGTTGAAAAATCCATAATTGCCATCATTGTCTCTGGAAACAGTTGCAGGTTTTAGTACTGAGATGTTCTTTATGTAGTAGCCGCAATACTTTCGGCATTGACCTCAGTTTGAAGAGGCTACTGCAGAAACACCAGATGGTTTTGAACTTGAAAGTGTGTAGAGTTATTTCTGGAGCTCTCACAGTGTGGCACCCACACTGTGGGTGTTGCATTTTTTTTCCTGGGCCTGCACACTTGCTGGGCTTCTGAAACATCACGTGTCTACTATTGTCCTCCTGACTCTCAGATTCCTTGATGTTTTGCTCTCATTTGCCAATCCTCTTTTATAATTCCCAGTTTTTGGTGTATGCTGATGACTCCCATGGCTATTCTTCAGCTTCACTCATGGTCCAGTCCTGTACCTCTCAGATGGGACAGTGGATATTTCCATTTGGATGCCCTTCTCTTATGTGTTGTTAGCATCCTCCCTTCCTCCCTGCCCAAATCCTCCTCCCGTTAGTAACGATCATCTCGTTTTCTCTAAGATCCCTGGTTGTTTAATGCCTTTCCTTCCTAGTCACAATGCTGATTCTACCTTCAGCCTGCCTCTCACTTTGAGGCCTTTGGCCCTACTCTTGCCATTATCTTAGTCCAGAGGCTCACCATCCTACAGCAAGGTGATATGACAGCTGGTACCATGAGCCGCGTGATGGGGTAAACAAAAGAGGTGGTGTGGAGTCCAGGAATTATGTTACAGGACCCTGGGAGGAACAGGCATCTACCTAAAGAAACTCAGCATTTTTGATTTTGTTTTTCCAAATTACAAAAGGGGTTCACAGTTCCCCCCCTCAAAAAAAAAACTTTTATTTAAGGAATACAAACTTCATGTGTTTCATAAGTACAACTTTAGGAATATAGTGATTCTTCCCACCATACCTGCCCCCCCCACCAATTCCCACCCCACCTCCTCCTCCCTCTCCCATTCCCAGTCCCATTCTCCACTAAGATCCATTTTTTATTAACTTTATACACAGAAGACCAACTCTATACTAAGTAAAGAATTCAACAATTTGCACACACACACAAAATGTTCCTCAACATTTGAGATAAGGGCTGTTCAAAGTCATTGCATCTTGAAGTTAAATTAACTTTAAAGAAGCATCCAAGAATGATGCACCTTTTGTGATCACTTAGACATAATTATAATATAACTCTTTGAGGACAGAGGTCCTGCATAGAAAGTTAGTGCACAGTAACTCCTATTGTTAATTTAACAATTAACAGTCTTATGTATGATGTCAGTGACCACCAAGGTGCTTGACATGAGCTGCCTAGGCTATGGAAACCTTTTGAATCCACAAACTCCATCAGTATTTAGACAAGGCCATAAGCAGAGTGGAAGTCTTCTCCCTTCAGAGAAAAGTACCTTTTTCTTTGATGGCCACTTCTTTCCACTGGGGTCTCACCCACTGAGGTCCTACATATATGACATTTTTTGTCGCAGTGTCTTGGCTTTCCATGCCTGAAATGCTCTCAAGGACTTTTCAGCCAGACCAGAATTCCTTAAGGGGTGATTCTGAGGTCACAATGCTACTTAAAGCAATTGTCATTCTGAGTCTGCTGTGTGGTCTGTTTCCCCTGTTGGAGCATTCACTCCTTTTCAATTCTATCATTATTATTACCAGACACTTAATCCTATCCATATGATCATGTTAACACTTAAGATGGTACTTTTACCACCCAGCTTAAGGGGATTTGGTGCACCATGGCAAGTTTTTAAACTGTACCCTTAGAACTAAGACTAAGGAATGCATGCAGAACTATACAGCTTTATAGCTACAAATTTCATATACTTCATATTTACAACCTTAGGAACATGGTGATTCTTCCTGCCATGCCTGCCCTCTCACCCATACTCCTACTCCTCTTCCTCCTCCCTCTTTTATTCCTAGTCTGAGACCTATTTTCGACTGACTTTATACACATATGTTTAACTCTATGTTAAGTAAAGTGTTCAACAATAGTATGAAAAAAAAAAGACTGTTCCTCAGCAGTCAAGACAAGGGCTGTTCAAGTCATTGCTTCTCAAAGTGTCAATTTCACTTCCACAGATTGCCTTTTTGGTTCTCTATCGGTTATCACAGGTCAAGGAGAATATATTATATTTGTCTCTTTGGGACTGGCTTATTTTTTTTTTTTTTTTTTTTTTTTTTTTTTTTTTTTTTTTTTTTTTTTTTTTTTTTTTTTTACAGGCAGAGCGGACAGTGAGAGAGAGAGACAGAGAGAAAGGTCTTCCTTTACCGTTGGTTCACCCTCCAATGGCCGCCACAGCCGGTGTGCTGCGGCCGGCGCACCGCGCTGATCCGAAGGCAGGAGCCAGGTGCTTCTCCTGGTCTCCCATGGGGTGCAGGGCCCAAGCACTTGGGCCATCCTCCACTGCACTCCCGGGCCACAGCAGAGAGCTGGCCTGGAAGAGGGGCAACCGGGCAGAATCCGGCGCCCCGACCAGGACTAGAACCCGGTGTGCCGGCGCCGCAAGGCAGAGGATTAGCCCATTGAGCCACGGCGCTGGCGGGACTGGCTTATTTCACTAAATATGATGTTTTCCAGATTCATCCATGTTATTGCAAATAACTGGATTTCATTTTTTTTCTATTGTGTAGTATTCCATGATGTACATATTCTATAATTTCTTTATCCAGTCTTTAATTGACAGACATTTGGGTTGATTCCATGTCTTAGCTATTGTGAATTGAGCTGCAGTAAACATGGAGGTGCAGATAACTCTTTCATATGCTGATTTCATTTCCCTTGGGTAAATTACCAGGAGCAGAATGGTTAGGTCATATGGTAGGTCTATATTCAGATTTCTGAAGTATCTCCATACTGTCTTCCATAGTGGCTTTATCAATTTACATTCCCACCAATAGTGGACTAGGGATCCTTTTTTTCCACATCCTCACCAGTATTTGTTATTTGTTGATTTCTATATGAAAGCCATTCCAATGGGGGTGAGGTTAAACCTCATTGTGGTTTTGATTTGCATTTCCCTGAAAGCTAGTGATCCTAATCATTTTTTCATGTGTCTGTTGGCCATATGGATTTCTTCTTTTTAAAAATGTCTGCTTAAGTCCTTTGCCCATTTCTTAACTGGGTTGTTTGTTTTGTTGTTGAGTTTCTTGATCTCTTTATATATTAATCCTTTATCAGTTGCATAGTTTGCAAATGATTTCTCTCATTCTATCAGTTGCCTCTTCACTTTGTTGAGTGTTTCTTTTGCAGTACAGAAGTTTCTCAATTTGATATAATCCCATTTGTTACTTTTGGCTTTGATGGCTTGTGCCTCTGGAGGGGGAGGGTCCACAGTTTTAAAAGCCTGCAATCATGGATTTTAATTTATAAATTTTTATTTAGTACTTGTGACAATTGATAAGTTGAGAAAAATAAATGATAGATAGAGATAGATCGATGGATGGATTGGTAGATAATGGCTGGATAGATAGATATAGATGATGATCGATATAGACAGATGATAAATATATACATAGATATAGATGATAGAAAGATGATATAGATGGTAGAGAGAGAGATGATGGGTGATATATATATATATATATATATGGAGAGAGGGAGAGAGAGGATGAATGATAGATTTTAAGAATGAAATGGAAAAATCCAAAGCACCTAAGCCCAGTGCCTGAAACTTGCATCCTCAAAGATACAGTCCCTGAAGTTGACTCATCACCCTTGTTTTAAGACTCTAATGGGACTTAATCACTATTTTTATGCTTTTGTTCATTGTCTGTGTTGTCTGCTAGAAAGTAACCCCCTGAGAATAGGGTCTTTGTTGATTCTTCCTGACCTAGATTGGTCTTCAGCATACACTACGTGCTTAGTAAATACTTGACAAATGAATAGAGGAGTCACTCAGTTCCAGGAGGTTAACCAAAGGTGAGGTTTATGTTGCACTTTCGTTTTTAAGTCTGCCCCACACCCAACCAGCCTATGTAGATGTTAAACAGAGTCTTCCAAAACATTGCTGTAATCACATTCTCTGATTCAAATCTCCAAAGATTTCTTAAAATAATTGAAGGCTATTTAGAACCAAGACCTTCTTTTGTAATTTAGTTTTCATCCCAAATGGCACCTTTATTTTTCTCTAGATAAATTATTTGTTCATCTTTCTTCCATAAACTCTTCCTCCTACAGAGGCATCTCCCTTAGATTTTACCTACACAGAAACTCCTATCCTACAAACCCAGCATTTCCTATGTGTGTTGCAAATCATACAGTTAGTAAGGCACCAGCACCCCAGATTTTCTGCTCTTTACATTTACGCCAAGGTTTGCCAGAGTGCATTCTAAGAAAGCCAGGGGTTGTATGGGGGCAAGATTGGGGGTGATTGATCATAGCCATGTAATGAAGTAAAATAGATTTCTTTTGTTGCAGGAATTCTCATGGCTTTAAAATGCTAATATAAATGGTAATCTAGTAAAAGTGAATTATAGAATATAGTGTCTGGGGACTATACTGGGGCATAGTGTGTTACTCTGCTGCCTGCAGTGCCAGAATCTCATATGGGTGCTCATAGAGTCCCAGCTGATCCGTTTCAGATCCAGCTCCCTGCTATTGTGTCTGGGAGAACAGCAGAATGTGGTCCAAGTGCTTGGGCCCCTGCACCCATGTCGAAACCTGGATGAAGCTCCTGGCTTCTGGCTTCAATCTGGCCCAGTCCTGGCCATTGCAGCCATCTAGGGGAGTGAACCAAAAGATGGATGATCTCTCTCTCTCTCTCTCCATCCCCCTCGCCAACTCTGCCTTTCAAATAAATAATTTTTTTAATTTTTTTGATAGGCAGAGTGGACAGTGAGAGAGAGAGACAGAGAGAAAGGTCTTCCTTTGCCGTTGGTTCACCCTCCAATGGCCACCGCGGCCGGCGCGCTGCGGCCAGCGCACCGCTCTGATCCGATGGCAGGAGCCAAGTGCTTATCCTGGTCTCCCATGGGGTGCAGGGCCCAAGCACTTGGGCCATCCTCCACTGTACTCCCTGGCCACAGCAGAGAGCTGGCCTGGAAGAGGGGCAACCAGGACAGAATCCAGCGCCCCGACTGGGACTAGAACCCTGTGTGCTGGTGCTGCAAGGTGGAGGATTAGCCCAGTGAGCCGTGGCGCCGGCCAAATAAATAAATAATTTTTTTAAAAAAATTAAACATAAAAGGATGTAGTGTTTGCTGAACTTGCTTGCCCTCAAAGCTCCCCTTTCAAGGAACACCTCTCAGATCTGCAGTTCCACAGAATAAACCTCAGAAACTGTACTATGCTTGGGTATTCACTTTGGCAAAACTGATCACTCTGGAACACTTTGAGCCAGTATTGTCTGAACTCCAAAGCATTTGTGGTTGACATTACTCACGGGAGCCATGCTCATGTAACCGTGTTCCGGTTTTAGTTGCAAACGTATGGCCACAATCTACCTGAAGATTCTTAGCTGTGTTGAGCTTTCCTGCATTTAGCACACACAGAGCAGTTGACAAGTGCCCACTGGAGCGTGTATTTGGCGAGGTGCTTAAGATGCCACATAGGACACCTGTGTCCCATATCATAGCACCTGGGTTCAAGTCCTGGCTCTGCTTTTTATTCCAGCATCCTGTGCCCTGAGAGAAAGCAGGTGATGGATTAAGTATTTGTGTATATATCCCCCATTTGAGAGACCAAGATTGAGTTCCAGATTCCTGGTGTTGGCTTGGTCCAGGCCTGGCTGTTGTGGGCATTTGGGAAGTGAACCAGCAGATGGAAGATTTCTCCCTCTGTCTGTGTGTGTCTCTCTCAAATAAATAAAATTTTTTTTAAATAAATAAATGATACCTACTGAATAAATGAATAGAACTTCCCTATTATTTACATTTAATGATGTTTCCTGACCTTGAAAGAGTATCCCAAGAACCTATCTCTTTACATTGCTCCATGGTTTACTAGTTCATGCTGATTGCCCAGAATGGTTTTTATTCTGGGGACAGAAATACATTCTTCCCTTCAAAATTCTGTCCTTAATCTTATTTGGAAGATTTACCTGTAGTTGGTTTTCTATAGATGTTATCACTCTCTGTTCCCATCTTCAGCTCCCTGTCACTCCAGTAAACCTAGGTAGTTGTGCTTGGATTTATTTTTTAAGATTTATGTATTGGGGCCGGTGCCATGGCTCACTAGGCTAATCCTCTACCAGCAGTGCCGGCACCCTGGGTTCTAGTCCCGGTTGGGGTGCTGGGTACTAGTCCCGGTTGCTCCTCTTCCAGTCCAGTTCTCTGCTGTGGCCCAGGAGGGCAGCAGAGGATGGCTTGGGTCCCTGCACCTGCATGGGAGACTAGGAGGAAGCACCTGGCTCCTGGCTTTGGATCAGCGCCGGCCGTAGCGGCCATTAGGGGAGTGAACCAATGGAAGGAAGACCTTTCTCTCTGTCTCTCTCTCACTGTCTATAACTCTACCTGTCAAATAAAAAAAAAGGATTTATGTATTGATTTACTTACTTACTTACTTGACAGCAGAATCAGAGAGAGAGAGAGAGAGAGAGAGAGAGAGAGAGACACGCAATTCCATCTGCTTGTTTACTCCTCTGAAT